AACGATCTTAACGAGATCGACAATGGAAGCAGAATTAACGGCATTAGACACATCTGGTGTTGAAGCGAGATGGCTTCGAGATCTTTTGATGGACTTGCCATTGGTTGATAAACCGGTTCCGGCTATCCTTATGAACTGTGACAATCAGACTGTCATCACCAAGGTGAAGAGTTCAAAGGACAACATGAAGTCCACCAAACACATAAGAATGAGATTAAAAGCTGTCAGAAAATTAAGAAACTCCGGAGTGATAGCGTTGGACTATGTCCATACGGCTAAGAATCTGGCAGATCCCTTTACAAAAGGGCTATCACGTGTTGTGATAGACAATGCATCGAGGGAGATGGGTATGAGACCCACATGAGTTGCCATGGTGGTAACCCAACCTATATGATCGAAGATCCCGTGAACTAGGACCTGGGAAAACAAGCCAGTGGTGAACTGAGGAGAGTAACTATACTAACCCACTCCGTTGGAGATGCAATACTCTCGATACTGTATGGTAGGATGACTACGGTCTCAATGTGTTCCAAAGCTTATAAAAGCAAGATGCTATCCTACAGAGCGATCTTTGGAGGAACACACCTATATGAGCCCGACTGCTGGTCACAGTCTATGAGATTGGGGTGATCTCTAGTAAGCTCATGAATAGGCCAGGAGTGTGACTTATATGCTCCACCCGAGGGGTCAGCCTTCGGCAGCCTAGTACTAGTAAGACATGTAGTGAAACTTCTTTACGCCAAACTGACAATTCAAGGCATAGTCCATTGTTCAGTTGTGAAGGAGTGTAGCCACTTGTTCTAGGTGAAGTTCAACCTTAACAGGTCTTTACTGAAACACTGGTATATCGAAACAGCAATTGAAACAGAGGACACAATGGTCCCTCGAGATCTGGTGGGGGATTGCTGAAATCTGAGATGGGCTCTAGGCCCATATTACAATTTCTGAAAAATCTCTAAGGGCCCATGTGGGTTATATGGCACTAGGTGTGGTGGGAAGTTTAGTCCCACCCCGGAAGTGGAAGGAGAGTTGGAGTGGTTTATAAGGGTTTCTCTTCTACATGCTATTGGAGCTTGAGAAGAGAAGAGGCCCTCGCGCACTCCTCCTCCGCCGCCCGCCTCGCCACGCCACGCCTCGTCACGACGCGACGCGGGTTGCGGGATTGAGCCGAGCCGAGCTCACACCTACGCGCTTATTTTTGCCAGTCACTAACGGAGAGTTTTCTGACAGCTGGGCCACGATCTGAGACGTCGGATCGTGGGCTGTCACGGACTCGGACGTGGGTCGAGCCCACGTCTCTTCACGCGGCTGCGCCTATAAGTATGCGATGTCTCCTAACCCTAGCCGCCACGAACAGATCACATCTGCTCACGCGCACGCCCACCGTCGTTCCTTTGCTGCTGCTGCCGCCGGTGACTCCATCCCGTCCGCCACGTACACGGTCGACGGGAGAGCAGGTCTCCGAAACCACGCCCTTCTGGTTCCTGTACGGGGTGAGGGGCGAATAGGTTTTTGGGCAGCGATTACGCGACTGCTCGCTTCCGATCGTCTACTTCCTCTACGTCCGCGTCGCCTTCGTCATCACCATGTCCACCGACGCCGACCGTGCCGCCGCCGAGAAAGCTGAAGCCGACAAGAAAGTCGCCGAGGACGTCGCTGCTGCCACCAAAGCCGCGGCCTCTGCGTGGCCTACTGGAGGGTATAACTCGTTTATCCCGCTCCTGATTATTTTCATATTAGCAGTACTAGCAGTATGTGTAGATTTGTCTACTGTTTGCTTAGTACGTGCATGTTTAGATCAGAGTGAGTACGTCATCAACTTAGTCAATGCCATGCTAGTGATTTACTCATGGATTAATTTAATCGAGAAATTGCCTATTTACTCAACACAACAACGTGAAGCGGATCACTACAAAGTCGTACTCTTTGGGCGACGAGGACACAATTATTCTGCCAGCGAACCGAGCGGCGGGCCGGCGGATGAGCTGCCGTTGGGACTAACCGTAGAACAAAACGAACGGGACGCCTCTCGGGCCTGCTGGTCTGGTCGGGCTTTAGGTGCACCTAGAAGATTCTTCCAGGGCGATGGCGATGGGTACCTCCCCTGGCCCTGGCTCTTCCAACTGAAGGTTCCTCGAATTGAATACAGGTGACGGGCGTGCTTCAGGGTACACGCTTTGTCGGCCGGCCCTCCTCGGTCTCCGTCGGAAAAGATGGAAAATACGTTTTCTTCAAGAGAAACAGAGGAAAAATACGTGAGCACGACCGCGCCATCTTCCAGACTTCCACCATGACAAACAAGTGTACGTGCCCACCTTGCTTGGAACCATTTGCAAACTGCATGCGACATACAAGTTGGCGGGAAAGTTCGTGGTGTGCGTGCCATCTTCCACCAGGACAAGCGTATGCGCCGACCTCGCGTGGGAGAACACTGCAAGTTGGCGGATCGGTCCGTCGGCAAGTTCGTCCCGGCCTTGGTCCGGTCGTCCTCCATGCGTTCGGTATAGTACATGGAGCGGATGTCACTTACGCCAAGGCTTCTGAGCGTTCAACACGACGCATGTGGTCGTGGCACGTTTCGTAGCGGGGCCGGTACATCTGCATGACCGCACATCGTGCCCCATAGCGATCGCGACGATCCAACGTAGGCGTAACGTATCGCAGAAAGTCTCACCATACCGAGTGGTCACCGCAATTATTTTGACAAGAAAAATAACAGTTCAACCGCCATCGATGATAATCATGTGAATTACGGCGACCTGCCATGCGAGAGAGGCAACCTAGCGTACGCAGCTACGCCTCACCACGCACGCACGCCGACCGACCGGTACGATGTCGGCCTTGGCTTAGCTGGTCCGGGAGGCGTGCAGGAAACGCGCGCGCTGCGGTTGGTTGCGGCGCCAGCGTCACGCCGGTTGGGCCGTGGGCGTCAGCCCCGAGGGAATCGCGTGCGCGCGCCGAGACTTCGGCTTCGGCCGGCCCGCCTCGCCCTCGCGCCACCTCCGCCATCGGCGCCCCCAACGTGTCGCGCGGCGATACCCACGAGCCGCGCGCGCCGGGACCGCGGCCTCCCAACCCATACCGCCGCGCCCGCGCCTCCATATATACCCCTCCCGGTGCCTCCCCCACTCTCACCACCGCTAAGCGATAAGCAGCCTGCACTCCCCACCTCTCTGATTGACAGACCACCTTAGCTCAGCAGCTAAGCCAGCCTCGCATCTCTCTCTGCAATGGCATCTCGCGCTGCCGTGGTGGTCGTGGCCGTGACCGCGCTGCTGTTCGCGGCGGCGTCCGCGCAGGAGATGGACGCGAGCATGCCGCCGGCGCCGGCCCCGGTCACGGGCGCGGCCGCTGGGGCCGCCGCGTCGGCGCTGGCCGTCGCCTGCTCCGCCGTGCTGTCCCTGCTCGTCGCGGGCGGGCTCGCGCAGTAGGCGGTGAGCTGCTGCTGCTGGTGGTGGTGCGTCGCCGCTCGTCCGGCCTCCGGCGACGGCGATGCTCACTTCTCGAGTTTAGGGGGAGCAGTAGTACCGAGTAGTGATGGGTTGTGTTGTGTTCGTCTTGAGTGGAGCGTGACTTTCTCCGTTGCTTATTCTTTTGTATCATACATTGCTGCGTGTATTATTTCCGTCTCGTGTGTCGTCGGTTCTTCTATGACTATGAATAAATATTGGATGGTGGTTCTATCTCTACATCTACGGTGCCGAATCGTTCTCTGGTGTGCTGTTCTGTTCATCTTTTCTTCAATGTTTGCATTCGAGTTCTTATTTTCTTTGCTCGACTAGCCCCCATCTGCCTATGTTCATAGGCAACTAAAAGACAGCAACCTGTTACCCGTAGTAGTAGTACCATCTGGGACTAGGAGTTCCTAAACTTATTGGTCCGCTCGATGTTCTGCAGCTCGTTTATTTCCGCGCTTATAAATTTGTCTCCTGTCTCTGCTGCGAGAATCAAGCTGGGGCTGTCTAGCTGTTACCTGAATCAAGCACACATTCTTCCTCACGATCGACCGATTGCACACGTAGGAAGATACATGGTCCGGTTACAGCCTTGGCATGGAAGAAGGTAGGTAGGTGAGATACAGACGAAAGCAAGGCACGTGTGAGTTTTTTTTTTTTTTGAGGGAACAAGGCACGTGTGAGTTACAAGACGCTTTCAGTGTTTTCCCTGTTAGATTTAGACAATTCTCATTGATTGATTACCTCCCAGTAATCTCGTCCACGAAAGGCAGCAATGGGGAAATGAACCGAGCTATCTACTTGATATCTCAAACAACTTACAGCCTTCTTAGGTCCAACAAGGCAAAGTTGCGCAATTCGTGTAAATATCTAATACTCAATCTGTAAAGAAATATAAGAGTGTTTAGATCACTATCTTATACTCTCCCCCTGTCCCATAATAACGCTCATATATTATGGGATACTCTCCCTCTGTCCCATAATAACGCTCATATATTATGGGACGGAGTGAGTATTTCTTTGCGGAGAGAGTACATGGACCTGCCCTGCGAGTACCACCGAGACCTTGCAGGTTTCAACTCGTGGGCCAAAGCATAAATTCACGTATAGAAGGATCTGCGTTGCACTGTTCTACCTGTATAGCCTGAACAAATTATTTACTCCATGGACGAGAAACGGACAGGATGTACCACTACGAGTATATACAGTGCCTTCCGTACACAGGCAAAGGTAACGGCGTGAAGTTCTGATGTTCGACAGGAGAACTCCTAGCCCAAAGACAACACAACGATCGTTCATGACAAGGAACCCGTGATGACCTGAGGCATGACATCTCCGCTGTCGTTAGGTTTACAGTTCTCCTTTTTGGAGATTTACGGCAGCAGACTGAAGTTTCTGCATTCAGCAGGAAGGAGTAAGAAGCACGAAAGTCTTGAGAAGACATGATCAAACGTCAGGAACCCTCTGCTTTTACAGCAGCCGACTACCTGTGGATTATATAAGTTGGCAGCAACCACCAGCCGGAGAGAAAGTTATGGTGGCTCCCTAAGTAAGTACTTCTCTTCTCAACTGCTTCCCTTCTGGATGTTTCGAATGTTCGGTGGAAAACAAAATTCAGAAATGCATGGTCAGAGAATCGCAGCCTCAAGTTTCTCTATAGAAGAGTGGAATTGATGTCTTACCTACAGATGTAACCGGCTGAGCAAGTACGCCAACCTGCATGTTGGAACAGAATTTTTCCATCAGATAGCAAGCAGAATTTTTCTTACTTTGAGACTTGGAGACTTTGTTACTGGATTATTTTTAATAATATGAGCCGTATGCATCTTTCTGATGCAGAGGCTGGGGTAAAACCCCTTTTTTTTTAAAAAGATAGCAAGCAGAGGTTACACATCAGAATTTCCCATCAGAAAGCAAGCAGAGGTTATACAATGAGAAGACTAATATAGAGTACCAACCCGATATTTCTTGCATGCTCCATACTTTCATTGTCGGCATGAAAATGAAGCACTGCCACCGTTGCCGGCTCCTCCAAACGCCCATCGGTGTAGGCATGCTGGAGAACATACAGTACTGCACGGGTCAAACAGAAGAAGCGAAGGCGTAGGAAAACAGACAATTGACTATACATAGAAATAAAGGAGAAGAGAACCACTATATATGTTACTCCCTCCAATCCAAATTAATTGTCGCAGCCTCTATACAATGTATAGAGGACATTGTATAGAGGCTACGTCAATTAATTCGGATCGGAGAGGGTATTAGTATTTATTTTGTACAGTTCATTAAATGAGTCAAGTTACAATGGTTATATTCCAAGGCCATCTGACAGTCCCTATTTTACAAAGCATGGCTTTGATGAACACACCATTCAGCTTCTCTTCTCAACTTTCCACGTCACCTCAGCTAGCACTGATTGCAGAAAACTTAATTATTGCCGGTCCTATGTAGAGGCGCTAGTTCAAAGTTCAAACTACGACGAATTATTTGCACAACTTATCATCAGCAGTTATGAAGTTACTGCCATTAGTACTTTAGTTAGGCTTCATTCAGAACTACTGCTACACATAAGTATGAGATGGAAACAACAGGCAAAATATCACTCTGGGGCACTAGTCAAGTTTCAGTTGATAATTCACGCATTATATAAGATGTACTCCCTCCGTCACATAATGTAAGACGTTTTTTGACTCTAGTGTAGCGTCAAAAAACGTCTTACATTATGAGACGGAGGGAGTATATGTGATGATAGATTTAAATCTGAAACAAGATCAGCATATGTATACCTTGTAGAAACATCGACCGCCAAAGGGGCAAGTGTCCCTTCCAAAGTCAAAGTACCTACAATCAATCGACCTACAATAACATATTTGTGGCTTAGACAAATGTAACATGAATCGACATCTACTCTGAAGAACATATAAATGAAATTTTCTCTGGGGTACTATTAACTTAACGATCATATAGTGAGATGCATGCAACCATTAGATCACATAAGGACAGGCCTCATGGTAAGACTAAATGAAGAATAAGGTATCTTACTTGAGCTTGGCCTTGTAACCGTCAATTATATCCTGTTTTTCCTCCTTCGAGGAGTACCATGTAGCACTAGGAATGACATAGTACGAGACTTTGCGGCATATTGGACAAGCCTTGACTGTAGAGTCGATATCCATAGAAGACGTAAGAGAGCTGCTGCGCCACTTCCTAATGCATGTGATACAGAAGGCATGGTCACATTCAGGTAGAAGCCCAAACCTCTTTTCCGCTGCTGTGGGCTTTGAAAGCACACGGTCCAAACATACACTACATTCTATCTCTTCACTTTTTTTCAAGGCCTCAAGACGTTTGTTGTTTCTTTTGCAGAGCTTGATATGAGCCCCACCTTCGCTGGGACGGTAGGGATGCAAGCACTGTTTTCCACAGGTTGTGCATAGATCCCCATGCATCTGAGGGCACTTCTTCCCATAGGGACAAGTTCCAGCTGCAGCAAAAGAGCATATGGGCAGATGAGCAAGTGGGTGGGGCGCTTGGTTTTGTGCAGTTAGTGCTGATGACATTGACAAGCTGTTCCCATCCTCTGGAATGCTATCTTCATCATCAAATCTCCAGGTAGATTGATGCACAGAGCATGCCGATAAACTTTTTTGTGTCTGGTTGCTCACATCTATTTCCCCCTCACAAAGAGGACACCAAGACCGATAAGAGTTGAATGGTGCGAGTGCTGCAGTAGTTGATGGTGGGGTGTATTCAGAAGAAACTTCAACATGTTCATATCTGCAACGACTGCCATAAGAGCACACACCGTTCTGGTAAAATGTGCAAACCTGCGTGAATAAGCATCACGATGATGAGCACTAGACTGTTATTGCGAGTCAGGCTATGAAGGTAAATTGACCAGAAGATTACTAAATATGTAAATTAATATGTTACATCATTTGGTTGATCATTCCAGTCATGGGAGAATTGACAGTAGTCTCCTTTAAAGCAAGCACCATTCACAAAGAACTTGCAAATGGACCTGATGGACATACAAAGCAACAAACAAACCTGTAAGTGATTCCACCTATATTAAAAGATTCTCATCAAAGTACAAAAAAAAAACAAATCAGAAAGGGAGCTGGGAAAATGCTAGTTGAAAACTACACTTCCATACGCCGCCGCACAATGCTGATACGCAGTACTCCTCAGTCCTCAATAGACTCCTAAGCCAGATAAGAACATATCACTATGCCAGGAATCATGGTGATCAGTTGCTCGTGCATCATCATTCAGACAAACATAGTATCTCACGGTCTCATGTATTCAGGACTTGCTATTTGTGCAGAGCCTAGTATATTCTTTTCGCTACTACTCCCTCCGTTCCAAAATATAAGTCTTTGTAGAGATTTCACTATGAACCACATACGGATGTATATAGATGCATTTTAGACTATAGATTCACTCATTTTGCTCCGTATGTAGTCCATAGTGCAATCCCTACAAAGACTTATATTTAGGAACGGAGGGAGTACATCATTGCTGCCTTATAATTTTGATCTCACTTATTTATAAGGAATTCAGACATTAATTGCCAACACCATCATTCCCTTCTGTCAACCATCCCCTTCATAAGTCACCAGTAGGAGACTGTACGTGCCGTGACCACTGTCCTATTTCTACATAAGTCACCATCCCCTTCATTTTCGCCAACTAAATTGCAACCAGGTGCTAAATTGTAGGCGCGGTACCATTGCATTTGTACCAGCACCTGATCGGCAATAAAAACCTGGGCGGCTCGACAGAAGACCCAATCAACGCATAGTGATTCACAGTATACCACCAGCACAGCCACAACCATACTAGGTTAGCGATGACCCCTCGGAGTTCAAATCGGCCACATCGGTGGCCAGAGACTTACTGAAATCTGAAATTGCATGCTCTGTCACGCCAGCTCCAGCTCGATTACCTCAGATCACACACAGAAAAAAAAAACAGCAACCTCACTCAAATCATGGCCTCCTCCTGACCGCACTACGAAGGTAAAGCACAGTAAGCTAAATCCAACCCAAAATCGCCACGCTCGTCATGGGCACCGATTCCACCTCCAAGCTCAACGACACCGCCCAAACCAGCTCGAATCATCGGCCGCGGGGCCCCGGAGCGAGCGAGCCAGGGAAGCGGAGAAAACGCGGTACCTGTTCGACATGGCCGCCTGGCGGGGTCAGACCCGGCGGAATCGAGCCGAGCCGAGCAACCGAGCCGTGCGGAGCCTGCCCGCCGGGGGGTTGTGGCGCCCGCCGTACGCCTAGGGTTTGCCCGCTGCCGCGCCGCGCTTCGCTCCCTTGCGTCCCCTTCGCGCTTCCGCAGCTCCGCTTTGCTTTGGGTGGTGGTGCCGCTGCGGCCCAGCGGGGGATGTTTTTTTCCCTATAAACGGGAGGGGGAGAGGGACGGGCGGGGCGGGTGGTGACGGTTCTGCCCTGGAGCTTGGCGGGGAAGGGGGCCGACGGTTGGGGGCAGGATGGTCAAAAAGAAGGGCGCGGGGAAGCGAGGAGGGCGTGGCGCTACGCTCCCGCCGGATTGCGTGGGCAACCGCTTTTTTCCGGAGGCAGCGGCGAACGTGACGTCGTGGGCTGCCCGCGATAAGGAAGCGTGATTATTATAGTGGGATGGAAGGAAACGCGCGCCGTTCTCTCTTTGGTGTTTTATAAAGGAAAAAAGACAAAGGTGAAAGATTTCCATTAATTAAGACGAAGAGGAGAGTTGCAAGTTAATTACTCCATTTGTTTCTAAATATAAGTCTTTTTAAAGATTTCAATAAGAGACTAAATACGGATTAAAATGAGTGAATCTACACTCTAAAATATGTCTATATACATCCGTATGTAATTTATATTGAAATCTCTAAGAAACTTATATTTACAAACGGTGGGAGTAATGGAAAATCGAGTGAAAACTATCATAATCATTGAGCGGCGCGTATAATATAGCCCACACACATCATTGCGGAGAAAAGCCTCGTCGAGGTAGCATATTGGCATCATCTTCATCACTTTTCCCTAACCAAGCATCATCCCATCCTTTCCTCCAAGCAAGTGACTCTGATTTCGCCGCAATCGATCATTGAACCAGTCGACACCAAAAGAGGCCGTCGAAGCCAAATGAAGCTCCATGCCAAACACTCAACCACCCACGATTGGGACATCGGAATTCCCATTCTGATGGAGAATTGCGAAGAAGAACTATGCAAGATTGGCGCACATAAAATCATCGAATACACCACCTCTTGCATGTAATCGTCACCACCAAGGTCCCGCCGCCGCAACTTCAAATTTACCGCAACAAACAACCGGAGACAATCCCGTAGACACGTCAGAGAAGAGCTGACTACTGCAACCATTGTCGCGACCCCAACATCGCTCACCCCCACAGTCGCTGCCACATAATCCTCGACACCATCACCATCGTCTTCCATTGGCCGCTATGCAAAAACCCGCAACATCCTCACTCATCCACTGATCCACCAACCAGCGACCACTCCAAGAGCGATGCCCCCAAAAGGAAGCATGACGCATAACACCACCATCTTCTGATCCAAATGAGATATAAGGTTTTCCCCAAAGTGGTCCATGCAAAGGCGAGCACCACGCCTCAATGATGTATCCAAGAAGAAAGTGGTCCTCGGAGGCATTGACGCCGCCAGCCTCGACTAAGAGCCAAAGGCAAAGATTTCACCCGGTGCTTCCTCACTTTCCGCCCGTCCAAGCCATGGAACCAGTCGGGCAACCAAACTGCCCTCCAGCAACACCACGCAAGGTACGTCGCCCACGCTGAACAGCTACCAAGGCTCCTCCCCGTCCACCAACAACTTCTTGCCCAAATATGCTTCCCTAGCACACTACCTCTAGATCCATGCGCGTGCGTAGTGACACCCTCCACGACCACTTGTCGAATCCCAAGCACCTTAGACCGTTGGACCACCATGCCACGCAACCATAGCCAACTCGCCATAGAATTCAAGTGGTTCCCCCACGATAAGAGCCTTAGAGGCACTCTAGGTCTATCTTAGGGGTGCGTGAGTGCAAGTTCACCGGGTGTCTATCTGGGGTGCCGGGAGTGTAGGTTCGCTGGAGAATTCGGGTGTTTCACCGCCTTCAGAGGGATGACTGGTGCGGGGCAAGCCCAATGGTGGGAGGAGGGCAAGGCGGTCATGGGAGCGCCGCCAGCCGGGGGCGGCAAAGGTAGATGGTTCTGCTCTGCGGGGACAATAGTAACTGCTGGAGGAAGAAGGAATAGGAGTTGTTGGAGTGTCATCTGATGGTGCTGACAGATCAACTATCCACGAACTGTTTTTCTTGCCCCTAGGATCAGCAAACATCTTTTTTTCGAGGGGTACGCGTACCTAAGCTTTATAGAAGAAGGAAATATTTACAAGAAGAGTTTTCAGGCTCGCGCCACACTCCGGCGGAAACCAACAATACCCCTACACCCACACTACCCGACTACTCACACAACTAATGTACACTCCGAGCTCCTGCCGCTAACCAAGGTCGCAACTCGTGCTAAATCCTTGTCGATAGCTCCCATTCATTGATTGTGTCTCTTCCTCCAAATACTCGCCCATTACGTTGCTTTCAAATACTCCAACAAATCAACATGACCAAAGAGTCAAACCCCTTTTGAACACCCTTTGGCATGCTCTTTCGGGATCTGGGCCACCAGTCTTGCAACCGCTCTGAGGTCAAAGGCACAAGCTCCAGGTCTATATTGGCCCACCTGAAGCATTGGACCCACACCTGCCTCGAGTAGACACACTGTAGCATAATATGATCAACCGAATCCTCCTCCTGATCACACAGAAAGCAGACCGATGTGGCATCTTGCAACCCATGTCAAAATCGTTTGTCAGAAGTCCAAAGTCTGCGCTCCAGGGCCAGCCACATGAACAATCTACATGCCAGGGGGGCCCAACACTTCCACAGCCCCTTAGCGCATCCAAGTTTAATAGCTCCCTCGTTCATGATCCGGTACGCCGAGGCTGCCGAGTACTGGCCCGCGACATTCCACTTCCATATGGCCTGATCACCCACGTTTGGATCCAAGTTCAGCTCGCTAAGGGTCTCCCATAGGTGAATAAACTACATCAGCCCATCTGTGGAGAACTCCCCCTTGATATCGTTGATCCAATTGCCTAAGAAGAGCCCCTCCCTCACCGATCTTCTGTTCACCGTCTGGGTTCTAACCTTTGCTACGTCTTGAGCTTGCATTGGTTTTCCTTGAAGAGGAAAGGGTGATGCAGCAATAGTAGCGTAAGTATTTCCCTCGGTTTTTGAGAACCAAGGTATCAATCCAGTAGGAGGCTCCTCAAAAGTCCCACGCACCTACACAAACAAACAAAGAACTCGCAACCAACGCAATAAAGGGGTTGTCAATCCCTTCACGACCACTTGCGGAAGTGAGATCTGATAGAGATAGTATGATAAGATAAATATATTTTTGGTATTTTATAATATAGATAGGAAAAGTAAAGATGCAAATAAAAGTAGATTGAAAGCTTATATGATAAAAGATAGACCCGGGTGCCATAGGTTTCACTAGTGGCTTCTCTCAAGATAGCATAAGTATTACGGTGGGTGAACAAATTACTGTCGAGCAATTGATAGAAAAGCGAATAATTATGAGATTATCTAGGCATGATCATGTATATAGGCATCACGTTCGTGACAAGTAGACCAACTCCTGCCTGCATCTACTACTATTACTTCACACATCGACCGCTATCCAGCATGCATCTAGAGTATTAAGTTCATAAAGAACAGAGTAACACATTAAGAAAGATGACATGATGTAGAGGGATAAACTCATGCAATATGATATAAACCCCATCTTTTTATCCTCGATGGAAACAATACAATACGTGCCTTGCTGCCCCTGCTGTCACTGGGAAAGGACACCGCAAGATTGAACCCAAAGCTAAGCACTTCTTCCATTGCAAGAAAGATCAATCTAGTAGGTCGAACCAAACTGATAATTCGAAGAGACTTGCAAAGATAACTCAATCACACATAAAAGAATTCAGAGGAGATTCAAATATTTCTCATAGATAAACTTGATCATAAACCCACAATTCATCGGATCTCGACAAACACACCGCAAAAAGAGTTACATCGAATAGATCTTCAAGAAGATCAAGGAGAACATGGTATTGAGATCCAAAGAGAGAGAAGAAGCCATCTAGCTAATAACTATGGACCCGAAGGTCTGTGGTAAACTACTCACAACTCATCGGAGGAGCTATGGTGTTGATGTAGAAGCCCTCTGTGGTTGATTCCCCCTCTGGCGGAGCACCGGTGAAGGCTCCAAGATGGGATCTTGCGGATACAGAAGGTTACGACGATGAAATAGGTTTTCATGGCTTGTTCTGATGTTCTCGGGGTACGTGGGTATATATAGGAGGAAGAAGTAGGTCGGTGGCCGCCCGAGGGGCCCACGAGATAGGGGGTGCGCCCTCCACCCTCGTGGTCGCCTCGACTGCTTCTTGACTTGCACTCCAAGTCCTCTGGATCACGTTCGTTCCAAAAATCACGCTCCCGAAGGTTTCATTCCGTTTGGACTCCGTTTGGTATTCCTTTTCTTCGAAATACTGAAATAGGCAAAAAAACAGCAATACGGGCTGGGCCTCCTCTTAGTAGGTTAGTCCCAAAAATGATATAAAAGTGTAAAGTAAAACCCATAAACATCCAAAATGGGTAATATAATAGCATGGAACAATCAAAAATTATATATACGTTGGAGACGTATCAAGCATCCCCAAGCTTAATTCCTGCTCGTCCTCAAGTAGGTAAATGATAAAAACAGAATTTTTGATGTGGAATGCTACCTAGCATAATTCTCAATGTAATTTTCTTTATTGTGGCATGATTGTTCAAATCCAAATGATTCAAGATAAAAGCTTATAAAACAAAAAAATAATAATACTTCGAAGCATACTAACAAATAATCATGTCCTATCAAAATAGCATAGCCAAAGAAAGCTTATCCCTACAAAATCATATAGTTAGGCCATGCTTCATTTTCATTACACAAAATACTCCCATCATGCACAACCCCAGTTTCAGCCAAGCAATTGGTTCATACTTTTTAACGCGCTTCGGCTTTTTCAACTCTTACGCAATACATGAACGCAAGCCATGGACATAGCACTATGGT